TCAGTTTTCTCTACCTGATCTGTTTTTACCCCTGCCCCTCGCCGTTCTTCCCCTTTACGGATTCCGCAAGCGGCCGACACCTGGAGTAAATTTTGCGTTCCGTAAAACGTTTATTCGAATACAGCGTTTGTTCGCAAAGAAAGGACTTAAAAGGCATTTTGGCAACAATATAAATCAGAATTAAGGCCCCTGTCGAGCCAAAGTAAGCCTCAAATAAAGCGCAGGTAGTCCACCACTTACAGCCATTCGTTTAATCAATCAATCAATCAATCAATCAATCAAAATAGAGCTGGAAGGGACCTTGGAGGTCATCTAGTCCAACCCCCAGCTCAAGCAGGAGACCCTAGACCATTTCAGACAAGTGGCTGTCCAGTCTCTTCTTAAAAACCTCCAGTGATGGAGCATTCACAACTTCTGGTGGCAAGAAGTTCCACTGGTTAATTGTCTTCATTGTTAGGAAGTTTCCCTTTAATTCCTTAATTTAACAACAATTCAAAGTTACAACAGCACTGGTAAAAAACCCCAGAGCCACTCAATGAGATAGATAGATAGATAGATAGATAGATAGATAGATAGATAGAGAGAGAGAGAGAGAGAGAGAGAGAGAGAGAGAGAGAGAGAGAGAGAGAGAGAGAGAGAGAGAGAGAGAGAGAGAGAGAGAGAGAGAGAGAGAGAGAGATGACAGATATATAGATATTGACGATAATAAGATAGAGATAGAGATAGAGATAGAGATAGAGATAGATAGATAGATAGATAGATAGATAGATAGATAGATAGATGATAGATAGATAGATAGATAGATAGATGTATATAGAGATATAGAGATATATAGATGATAATAGATAGAGAGATAGAGAGAGAGATAGCGATAGATAGATAGATAGATAGATAGATAGATAGATAGATAGATAGATAGAGATAGATGATAGATATAGAGATATATAGATAATAGATAGATAGAGATAGATGATATATATATATAGAGAGAGAGAGATAGTTGATAATGGATAGAGATAGATAGATAGATAGATTGATAGATAGATAGATAGATAGATAGATAGATAGATAGATAGATAGATAGATAGATAGATAGAGAAAGAGATGATAGATATACAGAGATAGATGATAATAGATAGATTGATATAGATGGATGGATGGATGGACGGACGGACGGACAGACAGACAGACAGCTATAGAGAGACAGAGAGAGATATAGATAGATGATAGATAGAGAGATGGAGTATAGATATAGATAGATGATAAATAGATCTGACAGACAGACAGGCAAATAGATCAGGCCGGCAGGTAGATAGGTAGACATAATGACTTACTACTGGTCCCTACACTTAACCACCGTCAAGCATCCCCAGCGATCCTGTGATCCAAGTTCAAGGGCTTGGCAACCGACACGCCAGTATTTATGACGGTAGCAGCGTCCTACAGTCAGGTGCTCCCCTTTGGCAACCTTTTGACAAGCAAAGTCAAAGGGGGGGGGGACTCCAGGTTTGCTTAACAACCGTGTGACTCGCTTAACAACTATAGCATAAAACCCGCTTAGCCGCCATCTTGCTTAGAACAGCAGAGATCTGGGGCTAAAGTTTTGGTCCTGACTCCCGCCTTCTCCGTCTTGCAGGCCACCTCGGCCGGATTCGAAGGCATCGGCACCTTGGTGAGCAGAGGAGTGGAGCAGCTGACTTACTCTTCCCTCTGCCTGCCGGAGGACATCAAGGCCCGTGGAGTGGAGTCTGTCGCCAACTATTATTACCGAGATGACGCCAGCAGGCTCTGGGCTGCCATAGAGAGGTGGGGCCTGGCCTTGGGTTTGGACGCTCTCTGAAGTCTCAGATAGAAATAGAAATAGAGTAGAGTAGAGTAGAATAGAGTAGAGTAGAATAGAAAATAGAATAAAACAGAATAGAAAATAGAAAATAGAAAATAGAAAATAGAAAATAGAAAATAGAAAATAGAAAATAGAAAATAGAAAATAGAATAGGAACAGGAATAGAATAGAACAGAACAGAATTAGAATGAATAGAATAGAATAGAATATAGAATAGAATAATAAAAAACAGAATAGAATAGAGTAGAATAGAATAGAATAGAAAATAGAATAAAACAGAATAGAATAGAGTAGAGTAGAATAGAATAGAATAGAAAATAGAATAAAACAGAATAGAATATAGAATAGAATATAGAATATAGAATAGAATAATAAAATACAGAATAGAATAGAGTAGAATAGAATAGAATAGAAAATAGAATAAAACAGAATAAAACAGAATAGAATAGAAAATAGAATAAAACAGAATAAAACAGAACAGAATAGAATAGAATAGAATAGAAAACAGAATAAAACAGAATAGAATAGAATAGAAAATAGAATAAAACAGAATAGAATAGAATAGAATAGAAAATAGAATAAAACAGAATAAAACAGAATAGAATAAAATAGAAAATAGAATAAAACAGAATAAAACAGAATAGAATAGAATAGAAAATAGAATAAAACAATAAAACAGAATAGAATAGAGTAGAAAATAGAATAAAACAGAATAAAACAGAATAGAATAGAATAGAACAGAATAGAATAGAATAGAAATAAAGAATAGAACAGAATAGAATAGAATACAATAGAATAGAATAGAATAGAATATAGAATAGAATAATAAAAAATAGAATAGAATAGAGTACAATAGAATAGAATAGAAAATAGAATAAAACAGAATAAAACAGAATAGAATAGAAAATAGAATAAAACAGAACAGAATAGAATAGAATAGAATAGAAAACAGAATAAAACAGAATAGAATAGAATAGAAAATAGAATAAAACAGAATAGAATAGAATAGAATAGAAAATAGAACAGAATAAAACAGAATAGAATAAAATAGAAAATAGAATAAAACAGAATAAAACAGAATAGAATAGAATAGAATAGAAAATAGAATAAAACAGAATAAAACAGAATAGAATAGAATAGAATAGAAAATAGAATAAAACAGAATAAAACAGAATAGAATAGAACAGAACAGAATAGAATAGAAATAAAGAATATAATAGAATAGAATAGAATAGAATAGAATAGAATACTGGATCACTGCTATCCTGTCTCCCCTATTTCTTCTTTTCTTTAGACTAGCCAGACCCAAGTTCTGCAGCCGTTCTTCGTATGTTTTCGTCTCCAGGCCTTTAATTCTCTTAGTTGCTCTTCTCTGAATTTTTTCCAAACTCTCAACCTCTTTTTTGTGATGTGGTGACCAAACTTGGCTGCAGTATCCCAGGTGTGGCCTCACCAGGGTTTTACAAAGCGGTGCTAATACCTCGCGTGACCTTGATTCTCTGCCTCTGTTTATACAACCCAGGATTGTGTTGGCTTGTTTGGCTGCTGCCACACACGGCTGGCTCATAGACTTGACTCTCTTCTCACCCTTCAATTAGGTTAGCGGGCAGTTCCGGGAGCTGAAAACCCAACATAACTGAGGGACTATCCAAGTTGGTGGAAAGCTGTCTTAGAAGACCCCCCCCCCCAACTCGTCTCCTTGTCTTCCAGCTTCGTGGCGGGCTTCGTCCGATATTACTACTGGAACGACGACCGGATCCGCGGTGACTCCGAGCTGCAGGCCTGGATTCGGGAGATCTTCAAGGAAGCGTTCCAGAGCCAAGAGGCGTCAGGGGCTCCCTCATCCCTGACCACCGCGGAGGAGCTGACCAAATTCCTGACCATGGTCATTTTTACCTGTTCAGTTCAACATGCTGCAGTCAACAGCGGGCAGGTGAGAACCAGCCTACCCGAGATAATAAAATCGCAGAGTCACAGAGCTGGAAGGGACCGTGGAGGTCTTCTAGTCCAACCCCCTGCTCAGGCAGGGAACCCTATACCATTTCAGACAAATGGCTGTCCAGTCTCTTCTTAAAGAGGAGGAGGAGGAGGAGGAGGAGGAGGAGGAGGAGGAGGAGGAACAACAG